CAAAATATACCTATATTGTGAAGTATTTAACAGTATTTGTCTGATTTTCTAAAATTGGAAGCTGCCATTTTAAATTTAAAAATGGCGTCAGCCATCGATTTCTGGTCCATTTTGAATTCAGACAACGATTTTCAGTCCCTACACGTCTCTCCGGTTCCAAAAATTCCCATTTTGGGCTACTAAATAGCATTTTTCTGTTTTTCTTTAACTGGAAGCCGCCATATTGGATTTAAAAATGGCGTCAGACATGGATTTTCGGTTCTTACACGCCACCCCGATTTCAAAAATATTTGATGGGTATTTGACAGTATTTTTCTGTTTGTCTGTCACCGGAAGTCACTATCTTTGATTTCAAAATGGCATCAGGCATCGATTTCCTGTCCATTAACGTCACTGTGATCCCAAAAATACCCATGTTGTGGGGCATTTCACAGATTTTTTTCTGTAACCGGAAGTTCAAAACAAAGAAAAGAAAATGAACCCTCCACAGAATCGCTTCATTTCGAGCAATATCATTTTCGTGTAAGTCATCGCGTTTCTTGTTATCGAGTCACGCATGACTGGGCTATCACTTGTTTCGTTCGTCAAGTGCTTCAGTTCATTTCATTTGAAGCAAAGACTTGTTTCAATTGACGCTATGAATGACTCGAAAACTGCTTCCTTCGTTTTTTCCACTTTCACTTCAATTCGGAGTTCATTCGACTTCTCACGACCTGACGACGCAGGCATCAAAATATAGTATCCGGATAGTATCCACACAATATCGACGACGCGAAGATGCCGAAAATCGATATTCGACGTTATTTTGGAATCCAAAATGGCGGCCATCGGGTTTCATAAAAAGTGTCAAATACCCTACAATAGGATATTTTCGGAATGGGGATGCCGCGTAGATGCTGAAAATCGGTATCCGACGCCATTTTGGAATTCAAGATAGTGGCCATTGGTTTTATGAAGTATCAAATACCCTAAGATATGGGAATTTTGGGAACCAATATGGCAGCCATCAGGATTCAGAAAGTGTCAACTATCCTACAATATGGGTATTTTCGGAACGGGGACGACGCGTAGATGCCGACAATCGATATTCGATACCATTTTGGAATCCAAGATAGTGGCCATCATGTTTCATAAAACGTGTCAAATACCCTTCATCAAACGGGTCTTTTCGGAACGGAGACAACGCGTGGCTGCCGAAAATCGATATCCGATGCTATGTTGAACTCCAGCAAAAGTCTCAAATACCCTACAATATGGTTATTTTTAGAACAGAGACAACGCATACATGCCGAAAATCGATATCAGATACCACTTTGGAATCAAATATAGCGGCCATCAGGGTTCAGGTAGCGATTTTTTTTTTTTTTTTTTTTTTTTTTTCGTTAATTACTTTATTTGTACAGGCTCAATCGAATAAACTTTACAGAGCCAAGTTATCATATTCTTTATACATTATAAATGTCTTAAATCTAAAATTAAAGGATTGGAACCGATTACTCGCGGTCTTCTCGAGGCTAGTGGATGACAATTGTTTGGATCGGGAGAGGGAAAAGGAGATTTGGAATATGATTTATGATTAAAAAATTTCACTATTTCTAAAACATATACTTAATCCTATCGACGTTATATCAACTCTGTAATTATACAATTATTACAGAAACAAAAGTGAAAAATTATAATATGGGTATTTTCGGAATGGGGACAACGTGTGAAAGGCGAAAATCGATATCAGATGTCATTTTGGAATCCGATATGGTGGCCATCGGGTTTCACAAAAAGTGTCAAATATCCTAAGATCTGGGTATTTTCGGAACGAGAACGACGCGTAGATGCTGAAAATCGATATTCGATGCTATTTGTAGGCTATTTGACACTTCTTATGAAATCGGAAGCCACCATCTTGAATTTCAAGATGGCGTCGGACATCTATTTCTGGCTTATAGATGTCACCCTGATGCTAAAAAAAAAACCGTTTGTATGGGTATTTGATAGAATTTAAAACTTTTTCTCAAACCGGAAGCCGCCATCATGGATTTCAAAACGGCGTCGGATATTGATTTCTAATCTCCAGACCTCATCCCGATTCCAAAAATATCCATATTGATGGGACGGCATCAGCATTTCCCATTTCTTTTATGAAATAGGAAGCTGCCATATTGGATTTAAAAATGGCGTCGGATATCGATTTCTGGCCTCTAGACGCCATCCCGATTAAAAATATACTAATATTGATAGGTATTTGACAGTAGTTGCCGAGGGGGACGACTCTATCTACGATGCAGAAATGATTGTGTTTTGCTGTGGCTAGCTGCGCGTAAGCTGAGTAGATAGAAAGAAGATTGATGACGATTCTGAAGATTTCCTGCAGAAAAATGATGCGCGATGCAAGTAGATGCGACAAATGAAAGAAGATTTTTCGAAGATTGATTCGCTAGTATGAGATTTGTTGAGCATCTACACTTGAGATTTAGATGTGTCGCCCCCCTCGGTAGTTCCCGCTTAATCTAAAATCGGAAACCACCATCATGGATTTCAAAATGACGGCGCATATCAATTTTCGATCTGTAGACTTTATACCGATTACAAAAATACTAATATTGATGTGTATTCGACTGTATTTCCACTTTTTCGTAAATTGGAAGCCGCCATCTTCAATTTCAAAAGGGCGTCGGATATTGATTTTCATCCTCTAGACATCATCCCGATTCCCAAAATACCTTTATTGATAAGTATTTGACAGCATTTTCCACTTTATCTTAAACTTGAAGCCACCATCTTGGATGTCAAAATGGCGTCGCATTTCAACAAACAAACCACCCAACAATGATAAATTTGACATCCACGTGCACAGATCTGAACAAAAATGAACCGAGTGCACCAGCAACAAAAGTCATAAAAACTGCACTAATTTGGATCGAACAGCTTTGCTTCAATGCATGCAAAAGTAAGTTAATTTGACAAAGAAAGAAGAAATGAACACGAGTCAAGCTAGAACAAACAGCATGAAAACTGATCGAAAGTGGCTCTGTTGATGTTGAGGGGGATCTGCTCGAAGAGAAGACAGAATGACTTTCAATTGAAAGTGATGGTTGACAGCTTCATCCTCGCTTGACGATTTTCGATTGAAAGTGACTTTGTGGGGCCCTGATTGCCAGTTCAGAGAAAAATTAGCATTTGGCGTCAGATTTGACAACCGAAATTGACAATCGTCACTGACAGCTGCTTTTGAGATTTCCGAACACTGAACCCAAATCGTTCCTTGAAGACCGAGCTGAAGACCTTGTTCACATGACAACACATAAAACATGAAAGAAACCATTCAAAACAACAAATCAGATGGAAGTTTGCAAGATAAATTGAAGAAATCTGAAGCTATTTGAATAGAAAAGTGCATTATAGCTGCATTTCAGCGCGTTGGCACAAGACGATCCTCCAACCAAGCCATGGACTACTACACTACTTCATTTCATGAGGACACCCGTCTCCACAATTATTTAGTAGATTCTAGTGTTACATGTGGTTCCAGTATAGCCTAATTGATACAATTGATAATCCAGCGGATCGGGTCGATTGCATCAAGAGGGTTTGATATGTCTTAAACCGAGGCTTCGAAGAATGATCGTTATTATCCGGTTGTGTTTATGTTTGACAGCTGCGGATGTTGCTTCTTCTGATTTGTGAAATGTCGATGCATGCTAAGATTTCTGTGAATCAGCAAAAGTACCGCCACCTATGGCGCGCATAGTCAATTCCCTTGCGTTTGACGTTTACACACTACCGCCATCTGTTCAGGGTACTACCATAGAGGTAACTCTAAGACTAGAAGGTTCTGAAATAACGAGCTCAACTTTTTGGCTCAGCTCTGGTACTCTCTTTGGTACCAAGCTAATCGATTCACCCCTCGAAACATAGGAAAAACCAATAACCCCTCATTTTACCTGTCAAACTTTCATAGCGAATCAAAACAAACATTGCGTAGTACTAGAATTTCAACTAGAATGGGGTACGTTAATCGTTTGCTTGGGACCAATAGGCTAGTCAAGTAGTGAGCCAATTTAAAATCGTTAGTTTCGTATTGATTGTTGGTACTACCCACCACAGTGTATTCAACAGATGGCGGTAATGTTTTTGCGACGATGTTTTACAGTGGAAAATATTCAATGTGTTATGTCTGTTTTTCTGTGCCCGTATTGTGAGGTTTAACATTACTTTTATTATTTTATGAAACCGGAAGCCGCCATTTTGAATTTCAAAATGGTGTCAGACATCGATTTCTAGTCCCTACATGTCTCCCCGATTTAAAAAAAATACCCATATTGTGGGGTATTTGACAATATTTTCAAAAACCTCTTTTTTTACAAAGTAAATCCCAAATAACGAGGTTTTTTTTACGAACCCCCGGTTTGGTTCGTAAATGGAGATTCAAGTGTATAAGATTATTCTAGTCTAAGACTTAAGGGACCACAATGTAGTCAACCATGATTCATTTTTGGATTGGTCCAACCAAAATTCATTACCCTATTTCGATGAGAATCTTAAAACATTCTTTTGAAAAAACAGTTTGTGAAGATTTTGTGGTCAGGTTTTCCTGTTTTGAATACACATTTAATTTCCCTTGAAGAGCTTTTAAACTGTGAAAATGATGAACAAAATTCGTTAGTTTCTAGCAGCCCTTCCAGCAAGAGAAAGAGAGGACGCCGCTGCGCCTAAATCGAGACTCTATGCTCCCCAAGAGAAGCATATTTTCCAGCAGCTCCAACATCAGTCGCAAGCATGCTGTACAGCGAGTGAGCAACCCTCCACCGTTGGCTGTTTGTCCCATCCGTGAGAAGTGAGCTGGCCTGGCACGTCACGGCGTGGGGACCTACATAGGCATACTGCTATTTAGCTTGGACTGAAATCGGCTCGAGGTCGGGTGTTCGGGTGAGCCTCCTGTGGCCATGCAGCATTGCGAGCGTTGTCAGTTTTCCTATTTTCGCGAGTGAACGAAGGTCGTTGGAGGCCGTTCGGAGCCAAACAACCGGAGCTACATACTACAGTGCAGAGTCGGGCGAGAAAAAGCATCTAAGGCCAAGAAAAAAGCAACATTCTGCTGCCCGGAGTAGTAGGAGGTCGCTGTGTTTGACTTCCAGTGATTGAAAATCGGTGCGAGTTAGTTTTTCCGGTGCGATTTTTTTTTGCAAAATATCCCGTTCAAAAGTGCAAGTGGGATCAATCGAAGAAGCAATTTATGAGTGAAAAGTGCAAACCTAAGCAAAGGTGAATGGTGTCCAGCATTGCTGCAATTGACGAAACGCCGCAGGAGTCCCGAGAGCAGAGCAAACATTTATGTAAGGATAGCACCGGAGGATGTGAAACGAGTACACACGGGTTCTGGTAGCACATCTGCAGTGAGGTCAATTTTGCAAGAGAGAAAAAGAAAACATTTACTGAACCTGGTGCTCTGGTCTGTGGCTGGTTCAGGTGAAATACTGCGTGCTGGATGTGAATTTTTCAGCAAGGTGTGAAAATAATGATAATTTCTGCAAGGAAACATTAAAACTTCCTGAGAGAGGAATCTCTGTTGGTTGCGTGGGAACTGTACGTCTTCTAGTGCGAATCGTGAAAATTGCTACTGGGGTTTGCTGCTTTGAGAGAGGGAGAGCGGAGTCGGATCAGTTCCACTGATTTGTTTGCAGGACATAAATTTGGCTGCCATAGAGGTGTACGTGTAGCATTGCGAACTCCCTGTGGATCGAAAAAAAAAATGATTGACTTTGTTCGGTTTGCAATATTATCAATACATTATCAAGACATGTATGCTTTCCATCCTTTTGCTACGATTTCGTAGAACAATCTCTCATGTGCAACTGGAACTATTTTCTATTATGGCTTTTAACAAGCAAAAACCTTAAATTACAAATGATTGGGGACACACATCTTGTTTTATACTTTATACTACCGGCTGTTTTGTGTGCGGCCTAATTTGATTTGTAATAAATATTTCAAAAACTGACTTGCATAAAAACTGAATACGTTTGGGCTGTGCTTCAAAAAACAAATGTTTTTAAAGTGCAAAACCATGACACTGTGCGAAAAATGATCTACGTTTTGAGGTCGTGTACGTATGCACGCTAAGTTGAAAGTACCCATTAATGGGTAGAAAAAGACCCATTATGAATAAAAGTGTTTTTTACCCTTAATGAGTATTTGTTACCCATTAATGAATAACTATTACCCTATTAATGAGTAATAGTTAATCATTAATGGGTAAAAATTTGTCTAATCAATGAGTTAAGCCACTTTTCTTCAAAATTGGCCTTTTTTTACCCATTAATGGGTATTTTCAAGTTAGAGTGTAGTTGCAACGCTAATCAAAATATAATGACTTACTGCTTCATCTGTAATTCTTAAGGTAGGGTTAAGATTTAATTTACGTCATACTATGTACAACCACATAACATATGTGGAGCTTCATGCAAAATAACTGACTAAAAAGTTGACCCCTTTTTTTGTGTTGCCTTAGTGGTATAACTTGTATAGTTGGCCATCGATCTGTCAAAACAAAATTTTCACCGAGAATTCGCAAGGACCAATGTCGAAAACTTAAACAATGGTTTGATCCGTAAATTTCTCGTAGCTCAAAATCAATCCAAGTAAGCTATCAATTCTATCGGATATGAGAACTCACCCTCTACATAATAATCGTGACGGTTTACTTGAATGGTTTTCCATTCTCGAGAAATTCACGGAAAAAGACATTGTTTATGTTTGCGACATTGGCTCTTGTGAAATGCTATGGTTGCATTATCAGTAAGCATTGACGTTGACAACGACTCTGCAACTCTTTACTCCTATGGTAAAATCCCAAAAGCATCTGACAATCTGTGCATGATATCTAGCGAACTTTGTCTTGTCTCTTCACTCCACCATGGTATCAGTGAGGCACCGTCTCTTCACGCAAAGCTTGACAGGATCTTATGAAATTTTCATAGGAGTGAAAGGGTAAGCAAATTTTTCATGCACAGGCAGACGTTTGCTGAGGGGGATTATAGGATTATAGGAGTAAAGAGTTACAGAGTGGCCGAAAAGGCCATTTGCAAGTTTCAAGGTAATGCGGTTATTCTTTTTTTCGACTAGCTCTACAGGGGTATTATCAAAGGATTTTAACTAGTATTTTAAAATCTGTCACAAGCCAATCAAGAGCGTTATTAACCAGTAATATTGTTCACTGTGCTTTTAGTTAGCCTACTTATGAATGTTATGATTTCAGCTCGCTATTCTGTTGATGGATATTAACGTTTACCTTTAATAAAAACTTGATTTTTTTCTTCTAAAAAAGCTAGAAATAAATCCAAATTTAGGCCCCATTGGTCTTTTAATTGGCCCTATCTTAAATTTCCCCTTTTTACATTATTTTCATATTTTTTTTCAATTCCATGTTTGAACATATCTTGTCATAAATCTACGCTGATTTTGGATGATCGAGTTCCGTATATGTTATGTGCTACAACCCTCACCTTAAATCTCTATTTTGAACGGGTTTGATAAAAAAAAAGTGTTTCTATCAAAGATGACTTCTAAATTTATTTACCTTTCCACATTTGATAAAGAGTCACAGCTTGTTGAAGTATCGTTAAGAATCTAACACTGCTGCTTGATTCCAATTCAGTCATACGAATTTAATTTTAGTCCTAGCACATTGGCCTTCACTAGCCAGCCGAGCTACTACCAACAATCAGTACGAAACTAACGATTTTAAATTGACTCACTACTTGACTAGCCTATTGGTCCCAAGCAAATCGATTAACGTACCCCATGCTAGTCAACATTCTAGTACTACACAATGTTTGTTTTGATTCGCTATGAAAGTTTTACAGATAAAATGAGGGGTTAGTTAATTTTCCTATATTTTGAGGGGTGAATCGATTAGCTTGGGACCGAAGATAGTACCAGAGCTGAGCCAAAAAGTTGAGCACGTTTCCTCGGGACCTACTAGTCTTAGAGTTACCTCTATGCTACTAGTAGCTAGGTAAATCACCTCTTTAATAATTCTCAGGGTCGACCAAACGCACTAGTGGAAACTCACCTGTCCCTTTTGCTGGCAAAAGTGAACCAAGCTGACATCAATTTTCGGTGCATACAAGAAATGTATTCAAAGCAAAAAATTACGGCAAGCAAACTAACTAACAAATATTTAACTCCAAAATTTATTGGAAATTTACTTCGAGAATAAAAAAAAATTAGAACGGACTCACTGTACCCGTTGCTGCTCCTGCTGCTGGTCGTGATACCGTCAACACGGTACCGTCGGAGGCTGCACCGTACCGGCTCTCCACCGGTCGACGTCTTCTGTGCTGAGCTTCACCGGGTCCCAACCGGCCTAGGGGAACTTCTGCTACTATTGCTTCCGGTTCCGACTTCGGTCGGAGGTGATCTTCACGGTGTTGACGGACGACCTTTGGCAAACCTGGATAGCGTTCGTGTGCACACTTTCTTCAAGAGGAATTATTTTCGGTTTAGTTCACACTCGCGACACCTTGCAATTCCGGTCGGCTAGCTTCACGGATAGTCTATGTCTTCTAACGTCTCGACCGGTTTGCGACCTCTCACTCCACTATTGGCGTCAACGTTGGCGATAAGGAGGACCAGAGCCACGTGGTGGCCTTACAAGTTACACCGAAATCACTTTCCGTGAACCGTAGTAACTGTTTGTGAACCAAACCACTATTTGTCAAAGCAAATCTTATTAATTCACGTGTTTAAGAATTTGACTTTGTCAGCACAATTTCACTTAATTCACGCCTGCCAAATCTTCACCGACTTGATCTTCTCGCTATTCCAGGTATAAGAGACCGTCCCTGTGGACCGGTATTCCTGGTCCCATGCTCACAAAAGGGATGGTACGATCGATCGTACGATATCTCACCAGGTCACATATACCGGATCACGTTCAGGGTGAATTGCGCCTTTTGTAGAAGTGTAGCCGCTGTAATAGTATTGGTCTTGGCTACCTAGGCCAATTTCGTAGAGATGCGAGCAGTGAAATCCCCCTACACCTACGCTAGCTATGTTCGAATTTCGAAGTCTACCTACGCTACTCTAGCTCCTGATTGGCCAACCGGTTTGCGAGGGGTCTCATTTGACGACACATCGACTCTTTTTGCCGTGCTGTGAGTTTTCCGATTTATATTTTTTCGGAAATTTGCGTGACAACCCAGCTCAGCACCGGCTGCCAGAAAATTAATATTTTTAAATTCAAAAGGCGAAATTTGTTTCAATTCATTTCAATAATCTTGTTTATATAATTCAATCATCTTCTTCAGTTAAAATTTACATTTGCTCACATTCAAGTGTAATTTATTATTAATTTCAAAACTATCACCAAGCAATAAATTTCAGCTTGTAAACTTTGGAAAAGGTTACAATGGATTCACTTTCGCATACGGATGAAGGCAGAACAAATGAATCTGCTAGGAGCACTTCTTCTGTTTTTTTTGAGAACAATGAGTGTAGGGGAGATGGAGGTAAAATTCTCATACTAAGGAAGATCTCCATTTAACCTACAAAGTGAATCAATATTTAAGTGCAATGCCGTCTAACTGTTGGATTAGGTTATTGGCATTCTCGGATTCTTGTTTAAATTGTATGGCCAAAGTTTTGGAAAGTCTTCTGCATGACAAGTTGTATAATATCGGAGTTCCAGCATGGATTCATGAAAAAGCGCTCAACGATCTCCAACTTGATGTCCTACACCAACACTCTTATTGGTAGCATAGAAAACCGCCAGCAAGTAGACGCCGTTTACATTGACTTCTCTAAGGCTTTCGACAAAGTCCATCATGACCGCGATATCGCAAAGCTTAGCCGCCTTGGTCTTCCACCGGGAGTCGTTCGCTGGTTAAAATCATATTTATCCGATGTGTTTGCTATACCATTGAGAGTTCCACAAGGGAGTCACTTACGACCTCTTATTTTCGTTTTATTTATTAACAACGTGTGTGACCTCTTAATTTACTGTAAGTTGTTATTTGCTGGTGATTTAAAAGTCTACCGTGTGATAAAATCGTTCCTAGATTGTTATGGTCTACAAACTGACATCGAGCGGTTAACGTCGTGGTGTTAGATGAACGGAATGCAAGCAAACACTGCCAAATGCAGAGTCATTGCCTTAACCCGTAGTCACTCGCCGATCAGATTTGAATAATCGATTAATCAATTGCCGCTTGAACGAGTTGATTCTATTAAACATCGTGTACTTATCTTGGATTGCGAACATAGATTCAACGATCACATATATATCAACAGTGAGCATGCATAAGAGCGTAAACGCAATGATCAATTCTCTTCG